AAAGGGGGGGGGGGGGGATTATAAGGTGGGAAATCGAAAAATTTAGGTAGCCAAGCTACTAAGATTCCTCCAATGTGAACAAAGAAAACGCATTACTACAATATCAGTCAATTTCCGTCATCGTGTTTCAACATAATTTTGATATATGAACATTTTTTTATAGAAGAGAAAACACAAAGGAAAAGGCAAGCACAAATAAAATTTTGAGTAGAAAAGTAGTATCACAAACTAAAATAAGAAAATCACGCTTTGAAGCACCAAGGGTTGTGATTATGGTGATTGTGAGAGGCAGCTTCCTTGTCAATCACCCCTTGAACATGTCGAAATTCCTCAATATGACAAGGAATCTTAATTGGACCTTTATGACCAAATCCATATTCTTCCTCTGCTTCCTTCAATAGCTGCATAAACAGCGGATGATTGATGTACGTGACAGGAATAACAAACCTCTGGTGCTCTTCACCATATCCCACAGTAATTGCCAGACACCCTTTTGGAATATCTTTCAATTCTTTCTTTCCATGGCCATGGTTATGATGAAAGTGAATTTGAGGCACATGAAAATGGAAATTCAGATGATGATGTCCCATCACTATACGATTGAAGAATTAATTGAAAAACAAGAATACCCTATAAACCGCTATATAGAGGGACTTCTTTTCTTGTTTGACAAAAGAGTATACAAGAGGTTATAATAAAACAAGAGAGAAAGGCCAAGGATCAGAAGCCGAGATGGCAAGTTTAAAGAGGGTAAAGGAAGACTCGGTTAAGGATTTTGGGATGTTGCTCATGTTCTACTGCATAAATCTTGCACTGAATAAAATTCTGATGATGAAAGTCGGAGTTTTTCCAAGAGACAGAGAAGTCTAAATAGAGCGGTGAATATGGGCTTGGCCCGTTGGCCAGCCCAGCCCAGCCCAGCCCAACCCGTGATTTAGCAGGGTTGAGCTAGAATTTTTGTAGCCCGTTTAACAACGAGATTTTTAAGCCCGGCCCGAGAGGCTTGGCTGAGGCTGGGCCGGGCCGACCCGTGGGCCTAATAAAATATTTATTTAAAATATATAAAAAATAAAAAGTATAATGCCTTTGAAGATGGAAAGTCAGAATTGGATCTTTACTATGAGGATGTTGTCATGTTACCAAAACTTGATCTTGAGAAGTTTCAAGAGATGGATGTTGTCATGTATTGGAAGGACAATTCTAGAAAATATCTCGATCTTTCAATGATGGTGAGTAATGTACTTAATATTCTTATTATTATTGTAGCATCGGAATCAACAATTAGCATTGGTAGCGTGTTCTTACTAAGTACAGAAGTTGTAATTATTATGAAAATGTTCAAACACTTGTTACTACTCGAAATTGGCTGCACAGGTTTTTCCAAACTCAAACTACTAATATTTTTTTATGTGAATTTAAATATTATTAATTTTTTAAATTTAATTATTTTTAATATTTAATTAATTAATATTGCATACGAATTGTAGATGAAAGTGAAGATGTTACGATAACCTTGTCACAAGCGAATTCAAATGTGTTTGATGAAGATGATGTGTTGGATATCTCATAAGCATCATGAATGTTCTCTTGAATAGTTTGTTTTAAGTTTTGACTTTTAGTGAATGAAATATAGTCTTGTCTTTTACTTTTTTTTAGTGTTTATTATGATATATTGGAACAATATAAAAAGCTATTAAGTTTTGCAAAATTTTTCCAATAAGATATTTTTTAACTTTTAAATAATTATATCTTTTTTAGGTTAGTACTTAAAGAAAAAATATAAAATTATATTTTTAAAAATGATGGGCCGGCCTGTGGGGCCCCGCAGCCCACATAAGGCTGGGGTGGGCTGACCATTATAAGGCCCATCAAAATGGTGGGCTAGCCTAGCCCAGCCCGTCAATTGCTAAAGCCCATGTGGGCCGGGCCGGGCTAGCCCGGTCTGGCCCATATTAACCGCTCTAAGTCTATATATATGCGTAGGGTTTATAGGGGCATGAGGAATACTTCTATACTTCGAAGGATAAAAATATGAATAGCTAAAATGGTACATATCCGTGTGGTAAATGATCTAGTCCAAAAACGGAGGAAAAAGAAAGTGCTCTACTTTCTCTATTTCATATTTTACATAAAAGGGCTAAATATACCATGTATTTAAAAATATCATTCCTTCTACTATTTGGTTATTTCGACCTACCGTTATACTATCATTCAAATATATACTTCAATTGGACAGACTATCACGTGCAGCTTATTGCTTTTGGTTTGTTTTAAGCAGTTTTTATCTTATTTTAAGCACTTTTTAACATTATTAATCACTGAAAAAAAAACTAAAAAGCTGATTTGACAATCTTAAAAGTTAATCCAAACACTTTCTAAATAACTCATCCTTATCTTTTTTGGATTCACTACCAATTGCGGAGGGTCTGTGGGAGAGCGTGAATATGGAATTGATCACTTGTCTACTCCAAGTCCGACGTTTATGATACTATTGTGATGGTTGTGGATAATTTTTGTAAATATGCTACTTTCATGCCTGCATCACTGGGTTAAACAACCAAGAAAGCTGTCAACTTATTCTTTAAGAACGTGGTAAAGTATTGGGGCTTACTGTAACAATTCGACCAGTCGTTTTGAGCATTTGCTTTCAGTTCAGCGGTTTGAGGTCATAAATAGCTTCATATGGTGTATTAGGACTTGTATGTATCGTTGGTTTTGATTTTCGAGTGGTTCCGGATTTGTTTGGATGAATGATTCTCATTTTAGAAGCTTTAAGTTGGAAGAGTGGACAAGGTTTGATTTTATGTATTTGACCTCAGATTGGAGTTCTGATAATTTCGTTAGGCCTGGATGATGATTTTGGACTTGAGAGTATGCTAGGAATTGAATTCGGAGATTCCTAGGTTGATTTGACTTGTTAGGCAGAAAGGTGGCAATTTAAAGGGTTAGAATTTTCTTAAGTTTGACCATGGTTTGACTTTATGGCTATCGGGTTCGGATTTTTATTTTGGGACTTAGAATAGGTCCATTTTGCTATTTGATTTGTCAGCAAAATTTGGTATCATTTGGAGTTGGTTTGATATGATTCAGATGCTTGGTTGCAATTCTAGATGTTCTTGAAATTCATTGAGATTTTCATGCGTTTTGGTGTCCGATTTGTGGTTCTAGATGTTATTTTGGCGTTTTGATCGTGCAAGCGAGTTTGTACGATATTTATGCACTTGTTTTAATGTTTGATATGGAGCCCCGAGGGCTCGATAAGTTTTGTACGCGTTTGGGAGTGTTTGGAAGAATATAAGTTTTGCTAGTTTTTAGCCTGGTGCTCTAGGTCTCGCAAATGCGAGATTCTGTTCTCATTTGCTAGGAGGGTTCTGCATTTGTGAGGTTGGGGTGGCACAGTGGAGTATGCATTTGCGAATAAATTGATCGCATTTGCGATTCCAACTAGGCTTGGGATTTTCCGCATTTGCGACATTCCTGTTGCTTTTGCGAAGTTCCAAGTTTCACGTTTGCGAGCTTTATGACGCATTTGCGATGTCAACAGAGTTGGTCTGTGATCGCTTTCGCGATTAAGTTTTTGCATTTGCGGGATTCACATTTGCGAACCCCATGTCGCAAATGTGACATCTGTAGCTTCATTATAGCTGAGTATTTCGAGATTTAGCTTTATTTTATTATATTTTGAACCCTAGATTCGGTGGGAGACGATTTTGTGGAGAGATTTTCATACTAAACCATTAGGTAAATGAAATTGATTAATTTTCAATTATATTACATGATTATTTTTGTGGTTTAACATCAAAATCATAGGATTTGAAAGAAAAATTTAGGGATTTTTGTCTATGTTTTGAAAAATAAAAACTTGAGATTTGAGAGTCGAATTTGACTCGAATTTTAAAATAAAATACATATATGAACTCATAGGTCTATAGGCAGTCAAGACCTACCCTTCGACTTGAATTTTGACTAGGCGAGCCCGGGGTTGACTTTTGTTGATTTATGGGGAATTGAATAAAGATCATAACTTTTTTTAATTGAAGTTGGTTTCTCTTACATTGATTGATATTATTAAGACATTTTTGGCTAGATTTGAGCTGAGTAGAGGTGACCTTTAAAGGAAAAGCTATTTTGAGTATTTATTTGGCCTTATTGAGGTAAGTATCTTGCCTAACTTTGTACGAGGGAAACTACCCCTTAGGATTTGGGTTGATTGTACTTTTTAAAAATTGTGGAAGATGTGTACACGAAGTGACGAGTGTGTACACAGGCTTATATTCGGTATTTGACCGGTTTAGACTATTAGACTTCTTTCATGCATTTAATTGAAGTTGCCATTTCATGTTATATCTTCTATTGTTAGGCTTGCTCTTACATGTTTTACTTGAAGTTGTCAGTACATGTTCTATCTTATATTGTCAAGTTCACTCTTACATGCTTTAATTGTTAACTGCAATTACTTGTTGTATTCATGCCTTATTTGTTATGTGCCTTAATTGTTAATTGTGCCTTAATTGTTAATTGAATCTCTGACACCTTGACTTTATTTATGAGTTGTCATTTCTTGCTATTTGATTTTGTGAGTTATCAGGTAACTATTTTATCCGCTTGTGACTTTCTTTGTTTCGTTTCTTTATTGCATTTAATTTTGTGATACGCCGTAGTTGATTGTAGTTTGTTTGTTCAATTTATATTATTTGGGGATCGGGTTGCACGCTACAACAGTAATGAAATGATATGATATGATATGAAGAGATAAGGACAAATGATATGATATATGTGGGATCGGGTTGCATGCCACAACAAATTGATATGTTGTAATTGTTGTGACAATAAAGTTATCATCAGTTGTGATTCTCATGGTACATTCTACGTTGGAACGATTTATCGGGCGAATAATTATTATTTTTTCTTACATTATTTCACTTGTATTTTTTATCATATTTGGTTGGCTTTTGGCATTCTAGTATTTGAACCATAGTGCTTCTTGTGTGGGTCATGTATTCTACGTGATTCATTGTATTACTTTAATGTGCCAATTTGTGCTACCATTGTTACTTGGTGAATTTATTGTCAAGATGAATTTATTGTGGGGATTCATCGTCTCATATTCTGTTGAGTTATTGGTAACATAACAGGTTTAAATTGTCAACATGTTTACTTGTTGTGACTCTTAAGATAAAATCTGTCATCTGACTCGGTACTTTACTATATTTATATCGTTATAATGACTACTTTAAATGGTTCTCAAATTAAAATTATTACCCATTTGATGTTTTACTTTACTCAAATTTGTTACCATGTTTCACTTTAACAAATTCTATATTTAATTTGTTAATTTATTTGATGCTTTGCTTTGTTTACATATATTATTTTCCTTTACTGTGACGACCCGAAGGGTCATCCCCGTAGTTCTTCCTTATTCTGCGCTTTCGAGGCCTTGAAAATCTCGCTTTTAGTTGTCTCGATTGGCGTGCGCAGTTCGGGCGCGTAGCCAGAAAGTTTTTATGTTAAAATATGTGAATTATGTGAAACATTTGATGATTTTTGGTATTAATATGCATAATGTTGACTTCGGTCAATATTTGGGTAAACGGACCCGGACCTGTGATTCGACGGTCCCGGAGGGTCCGTAGAAAAATATAAGACTTGGGCGTGTGCCCGGAATCAAATTCTAAGGTCCCAATCCCGAGAAATGAATTTTTGAAAGAAATTATTTTTCTGAAATTTGATATGAAAATTTGAAATGAAAAGGAGTTAGAAAATATAGGTTCGAGCTCGTATTTTGGTTCCGACGCCCGGTACAGGTCTTAAATATGT